TAAGAGAGGTTCCTGAATCAAGCACCCTTACCCAACAATTATAGTTACTACTATAAGGCTTGGATAGGCAAAGCAGGTCAGAATACCCCTCATAAGAGGTGCTGGAAGACAGGCTGTTTAGATTCGACTTGACATTCCTTCCTAAATGGAACACGTAGAGACTCCTCTTGCTGGGGTGTGTCATCCTTCTATATCCAGATCCATATAACACAGGGGAGTGAAACAAAGGCAGCTGATGGGCTGTATGTCATGGTTACAAAAGGCAATCTGTCATGGCTAGTATATCCTTGTGCCATCCCTTGGGGCTGGATCCCAGCTCTTTCTATAAGGAGCACATTGTGCTAGCTCACAGCCCTCTTCCCCTGCAACATGAGAACACCCACAGGTTTAGCCATTTTGGAAGAGAGCTGGATCTGCTCCAGCACAAGGGCCCCAGGTTTTTTTTACCGGTGATTGTGATTCAGAGGCCTCAAAATGCCAACCACTCAGCAGAAATGAGAGCATGTAAACTGTCAAAGCCTTGAGAGAGAAGACCAAATTTTACACATTTCGCTACTACTTTGCCATAAAATATAATCCCAAGGTAAGGACCTGATCAACATTCAAAGCTTACTCTCGGTGAGGAATGATGAAGTGGAATAAAATCAAACCAGTGAAGCAATATGTAATATAAAATAGTGAGTCAATTTGGCGTAGTCATTAAAATTAAATAACATGGCCAGGTGCGGTGGCCCACTCCTGTAATCCCAGCACTTTGGGAAGCCGAGGCGAGTGGAACACCAGGAGTAAGGAGTGCGAGACCAGCCTGACCAAAATGGTGAAACCTCGTCTCTACTAAAAATACAAAAAATTAGGTGTGGCGGCTTGCGCCTGTAACCCCAGCTATTCCAGAGACTGGGGCAGGAGAATCCCTTGAACCCAGGAGGTGGATGTTGCAATGAGTCAAGGTCGCGCCATTATACTCCAGTCTGGGCAACAAGAGTGAAACTCAGTCTCAGGGG